TGCCAAGCCAACTCTCTTTCTTTAGCCGATGCAGCCGTATTGCTTTTTTTCATTATTATTGGCTTGAATTCCTCATATGCGTGTGTAGCAGACTTCGGCCGGTATCGATTGCACGGTACACAGGAGTCTGAATTGTGGACGTTTTATTCAGTCTGTTTAAACACAGTAAGCACAATTAGCGGCAGCACTCGCATGACGAAGCTCTCTAACATCCCCTCTTAGCTTCCGTAGCGCACTGGCGCGAAAATGAGCCTCGCCGCGTTACAAAAAAAAAATAATTACAATTAAATATATGAATAATAAAGGTGAAACTACACACAGTAGTTCAGACTATTAAATATTTCAACCTGCCTAATAACGGAGCAAGCTGCTAACGATAACATTAAATTAAACATCTAAACCTAGGTAAGAGAAAAGAAAAAAAACACAAGTACAACAACTCACAATGGGTAAAACATGGCGTTCGTATAGTGGGTTTCATACAAATGCATTCACATATGAAATGTTGAAGTAATTAACATACCTGTTTAAACACAGTAAGCACAATTAGCGGCAGCACTCGCATGACGAAGCTCTCTAACATCCTAAAAATAACATGGGGCTAAATAACAGCGCACACATGGAAACAAACTTTTTTTCACACGGGGCAGAATACGGAGTTAAACATAAAACACCACAACTAGTTTACAAACTCACATTACACGTAATAGCTACAGACATTTATAACTTAAAATGCACATTAAATACAGGATAGGACAGAGAGCATTCTGCACGCCTTACCCCTCTTAGCTTCCGTAGCGCACTGGTGCGAAGATGAGCCTCGCCGCGCACAGAAGCTATAGGGTGCGCCGCTAATACGGCCCTGACTCAACAAACAGCATGGAACCAAAATTTGCATCACTACGCACAATTACATTAAAAAGGAAAAGAAAACCCACAATGCCTCTTAACGTAAATAAACAGTTTGGACATTACTAATAGGCCCGAGTTTTGATGAAGTTCACAATATATACCAACATGAACAAAACTCTCTCAGCCACATACTCCCCGCTGAACTTCTCAAAACTCATCCAGGCAAGGTAAGTAGCATAATCAAACACACTAGCAAATGAAATCTGTCATTCTTACATGCAAACACTTCTCCCATGCAACATTGTGTCTCCCCACTTTACTGGGAAAGCGACAGAGGAAAGCTGGCCAGGCCTTCTCCCGCCACTCACTTAAAGGGTGCCCTATACACCCCCACCACGAGAAATTTACTCTGAATCTGTGTGAACTCAGACAATGCCAATTATACATACTGTTGATTATGACAATAAGGAACTGACAAGTCCACTGACTGATCTACTCATGGGTAGATCATGCACTTTTTTGTGTCATGTTATGAATTAGTCGATTGACTGGTTTCACCATCCTCCCTACTCTTGTCCTAATCTTAGTTATAGCGTTAGCAGGTGACATGACCTCAGCATTCATGGGGATGACGGAGCACTCTGCCACAACTGAGCTTGCAGGAACACTGTTGCTCACATTCCTAATGCCTTGTCCTTCACTTGAGGCACAATCATCACAAGGTGTGTTATTCACAGACGGAAAGTTGGGCTCTGACACTTCCAATTCTGAAGATGTGTGTGGATTTCCTGCACAATCAGCTGTATCAGCAACTTCAGCTACCCAACTGGCGGTTCGAGTAGCACTGTCTACAGGTGAATTCAGTGCAGATGGGGTTCCTTCGAATTCCTCACTTTGCACTTGGCTGACTTCAGACTCACTGATGAAAGAACATTCATCCCCAGCTTCTGCTTCAAGCGGTAAAAAGTTAGCTTGTAGGAGCAGGTTCCAATGAACTACTTTCACATGTCCAGAGCTGGTGTTTCTGATATGATAGACATGGCACTTGGGGTCTTTTGATACCACAATATATGGGATGGATTCCCACTTGTCTGCTAACTTCCTACGTCCACGTTCCCCTTTATTCGCCAGAAGAACTTGGTCTCCCATTTCGATGTCGCATCCCTTGGTTCTTCGATTGTACAAGTCAGTTTGCCGGCGTTGACTATTAGCGACATTCTCTTGTGCAGCTAACAGAGCTTCTTTCATGTCTTCTCTCATCCTCTTCACATAACCGTCGTAATCCACATGGTGATCGTCTCTTTCTACATTACGGAACATAATATCGACTGGTAACCTTGGGGTTCTTCCAAACATGAGATAGAATGGCGCATAGCCTGTGGACTCATGAGCTGTACAGTTATACGCAAAGGTCAAGGTCTGTAACATCTGAGGCCACTTCTGTTTGGCCCTGGGTGGTAAAGCTCTGATCATCCCGCCCAGAGTCCTGTTGAAGCGCTCCGCTTGACCGTTTCCCATCGGATGATAAGCAGTGGTCCTTGATTTCTTAACACCAGCTATCTGCATCAGCTCTCCAATTAGCTGACTCTCGAAGTTGGCGCCCTGATCCGAATGTATTCTCTCTGGGAATCCATATACGCAGAAGTACCGATCCCATAGTTGCCGCGCTACCTGCTTAGCTGATTGGTCACGACATTGGAAGGCATGGGCCATCTTGGTAAAATGGTCGGTGACTACCAAAACATCTACATTTTTACCATTTGAAGCTTTTGCGGACCAAAAGTCTATGCAGACTAGCTCCAGTGGACTTGTGGTTTTGATACTTTCCATGGGCGCTCTTCCTTCTGGTTCGGGTGTCTTGCTGACCACGCAGCGCTTACAATGTTTAACATGTTCACGGACATCACGCTCCATCCCGGTCCAAAAGAATCGCTGCCTCGCTAAGTACAAAGTCCTAGCCTGACCTTGGTGTCCAGCTTCGTCATGAACCCCTTCCAAGACATCCTTAACTAGTGATGAAGGAACTACGAATTGGTGTTTCCTCCTCCCAATTAAGAGGTCTTTGCTGACCCGGTATAGCACCCCATCCAACATCTTCAACCTTTCCCACTGTTTCAAGGTCTTAAGCACCGTATATTTCTCTTTCATCCGCTCCCTACGCGAAGGTCTTCTGCCACGGGTCACATAGAAGAGGACACGGGAAAGGGTAGCATCACTTGCTTGCTTCTCCTGCAGCTCCTGGAGAGAGAGCACAGGCAGCATCCTCTGGCCAGGTGGTATTAGCTGTTCCACATCTTGTGCCAGCCAAGAGATCACCCTTTCTTTGGATGCTTTGCTCCACCCCACATGGCTCGTCAGAATGGCAGACACCTCGGCATTATCGAATGAACGACACTGTGAATCTTCAGAAGAAGGCTGAACCAGGGCTTGACAGTTAGTACTCAGTCTAAAAGTGTCTTGAATCAAACTCTCTTCAAGTTGTTCAGCTTCTTTTAGCAAAGCTCTGTAGGGTTCTTCCACTAATCTCCGACTGACCCGTGCTCTGACGAATGGCTGCCTACTCAGTGCGTCAGCTACTACGTTTTTCCTGCCGGGTATGTACTGGATGCTGAAGTCATACGGGGCTAACTTGGCAACCCATCTCTGCTCGCACGCATCAAGCTTAGGCTTCGTTAGAATATACGTAAGCGGGTTGTTGTCTGTCCAGACAGCGAATGGGTGACCCTTCAGCCAGTGTCCGAACTTATCGCAAACGGCCCACTTCAGTGCCAGGAACTCCAAACGATGAGCAGGGTACTGGGCACGAGTAAGCGCTTTGCTAGCGAAAGCTATTGGTCGAGCCTTACTCCCCTCTTCTGAGACCTGGGACAATACAGCACCCAGTCCATCCATGGAAGCATCTGTAGAGAGGATAAATGGCCGGCTGAAGTCTGGGTGCGCTAGCACAACAGAATTTAGAAGTGCAGACTTCAGCTGCTGAAAAGCTTCCTTGTGCTCCTGTCTCCAGTCACTTGGATTTAACTTCCTGAATGAAGCAGCTCCCCATGTGTTCTCCTTTCCTCGAGGCGTGGCGATCAGCGTGAAGAGCGGCTTGGCAATACTTGAACAATTCTGAATTAATTTCTGATAGTACATTACCATGCCGAGGAATGATTTAATCTTCCGCTGAGATGGAGTAATTCCGTCGTCCATCATTAGGTCTGCTTCCTCCACATCACAGATGGCTTTCACTTTGTCAGGGTCAGCTGTAACACCGCTCCCATTTACCACATGCCCTAAAAACCTCACACTCCGCCGGAGGAAGTGGCACTTCTTCGGCGCTAACTTCAACCCATGTGCACTCAACCTGCTGAAGACCATCTCTAACCGCTCCAAGGCCTGTTCCTCACTCGGGGCATACACTAACAGATCGTCCAGATAGCAGAGTAGAGTCATGAAGTTCTGGTCCCCAAATACACTCATCATCAGGCGCATAAAACTTGCAGGGCTGTTGCACAGACCCTGTGGCAGCCTGTTGAATTCATAGAGACCCATTAGTGTTGTGAAGGCAGTCAATCTTTTATCCTGCTCCGCCATTGCAATATTATAGAAACCGGACGTCAAATCCATAGCACTGAATATGGCATTGCCTCCGAGGGCTGCTAGACAATCTGCCTGATGGGGCAAGGGGTGCGCATCTTTGATGGTACGGGCATTCAGCCAACGATAATCAACACAGACGCGGAGGTCACCACTCTTCTTCCATACAAGCACTAGGGGGGACGCCCACTCGCTCTTAGACTTCCTGATGATCTCTTGTTCCTCCATCTCTGTCAGCACCTGCCGAAGTTTCTGGTAGTGTGCTGGGGGTACACGCCTGTAAGGCAACCGGAACGGTCTGTCATCGGACAGATGGATACGATGGATGATATCTCTGGCCCTTCCACAGTCAAGTTTGTTCTTGAAGAACACGCCCTCATATCTTCTAATCAACTGCAGCAGCTGAGTCTTCCAATAAGACGATACCTCGCACGAATCAATATCCAAATCTCCCAATCCCATTTGCTGCAAAACGTCACTGATGTTAGAGTTCGAAGGAACTGTGGAGGCGCCCACTGCGCCAACTTGCGCCATTTGGTGCTGTACCTTGACTGTCTCACCGAATGGTTGCTTGATGGTCATGTCGAGGTCTTCTATGGCCACACATGGATAAACGTCAGCTAGTTTTGTATTTCGTTTCAGGGTTATGGGCATGTGACTTGGGTTCAAAACCTTAACTGGTACCCATCTGTCTCCTGTCATGGTGGCTATTACTCTGCCAATGATCACATCCTTCTTGTGCGTCTTGGCTCTTGGTGGTTCCACTATGATGGCACTTCCCTCAGATACAGGTGAGGTCACAGGTAGCTTAGCCCACACGAGGTGCTCATGCTTGGGGAGTAGTGTGACAGCACGGGCTAGCTTTGCAGTTCCTAGGACATCAGGTATTTTGTTCCCCCTCCTCCGACTGAGACCGGTCAACATGTTCAAGAAATGTGAAATCTCCGGAATTTCGGGAGGCTCAGGCTGGGTGACAGCGCCAGAAAGATGGCATCAGTTTCATTTTACTCTGCAGGTATTTGATGACATTTGTGCCTAAAATCAGCTCGTCCTGCTGCCCAGGCACAACCAATGTGGGTACACAAACTGCATGGCCATACACTTCCATATTTACATCATATAGACGCTTGGGACGCACTTGAACGCCACCACAGCCCACAAGAACGACATCTGCAGGAACTACACTTTGCTTTGAGACTAACTCCACATCCAGCAGCCTCTGTTCAGCCTCTTCGCTCATAGTGCATGCCATGGACCCACTGTCCAGCAAAGCATGTAAAGAGATCTTACTCCCTACAGAGACATCCACATAGAAAAGACTGTCTACTTTATCCAACTTCATTACATTCTGAAACAACACTGTTGTGTGGGTGGAAGCTGCTGCGACAATTTCTTCGAACTTGAACATATTGTCATCTATCCCGAGGGTTTCACTTTGCAC